GTGGGGTGAGGGGGAATCGGGGGGAAGCGGGGCATGATGCGAGATTGTGATCTTACTGCTGCTGCTGCTGCTGCTTTTCTCCGCCACCACGTAGCCCATGTCCTCAGTTAGCCAGGCAGTTTAAGGTTGTTGCTCCTAACAACTGAAAATCAAATTAAGTATGGAATCAGTTAAATCCCAAAATACACAACAACAACAACAACAACAACAGCCCCACGGTACGAGGCCCCTATTTCCCCTCCTCCCCACCCCCTTCCAGACACGCACACCTACGATTTCCCCCCATCCAACCCCGCCCGCCCGCACCCGCACCCCCCCAAACATACATCCCAATCACCCCGTCGTACACAAACCACACAGACCACACGGACCACACACACCTGCGGGTGCATGGTGGCTAGTTTGTCGCAGTCCCGCAGCACGGGCCGCCAGTCCCCGCCGTCCAGCCACTCGCGAGGCAGGGACTCCAGGGAGGCTGCCGTACCCGGGGCCGTGTGCGTGTGAAGCAGCGGGTTTGCCTCCACCACGTGTTGCAGTACATGCCGGGGAAACAACCTTCGTACGGGGAGGGAGGGGAACGGGAAGGGGAAGGCCCGGGGGAAGGGGAGGGCCCGGGGGAAGGGGACTTTCATTTCCATGAAACAAAGAACCACGAGAGTGGGAGAGCAGGGGAGGGGAGGAGGGTAAGAGCAAGCGAGCCGGAAGGGGGGCACGGGGCGAAAACATCATCATAGGCTCCGGGGAGAGGCGGGAAGGGGGACGGGACTTCTACGTGTGTTTGGATGTGCCTAAAACACCGCTCTACTACCCCACGGAAAGCAGCCCTCAGCCCTTTTCCAGACCGACACTCGGGACGCCCTAACACAAACCCTCAAAACCCTACCAAACCCCTCAACAGCACACACACACACACATGCACGCACGCACACACACACACGCACTCACTGTAGCAGCAACCTCCTCTCCGCGCACATCACATGCACCAGGTGCCTCTCCGCCCGGACCTTGGCGGTCACATCCACCTGGGAAGGCGGGGGAGGAGGGGGAGGAGGGTGAGGAGGGTGAAGAGGAGGGGAAGGAATTAGGGAAAGCCATGGTCTGGATATGTGTATGTGTGTATGTATGTCTGGAGGAAAGGGATCGTGAAGAGCCACCTTCAAGGAAAGGACGGGTGAAAAAAGGGTTTTAAGGGGCAAGTGGACTTCCAAAAAACCGATCGAATTAAGGAGGGGACGGGGAGGGGCGGAAGATGGCGGCTGGGGAGGTGGCGGCGAGAGGTGTGAAACGGCACTGCGAGCCCAAGTACGGGTTCGAATCCCACCTGCGTCACAACCAGCACAGCAGCCCCCGTGACAGGGTCAAGAGCACTGACGGCAGAGATCTCATGCCACACGTCATGATCGGTGCCAACGCCAAAGCCGCCAACGGCGGCGGCGGCAGCGGCGCCGCCGCCGCCGCCGCCGCCGTCTTCCGCTTCCGCCGCAAACGCCATGTCCTCATCGTCGCCGGTATCCCTCCGACAGTTCGATAATCGAAGGTTATTCCGCCAACGGCCAGGTGCCGCCGTCGACTGCCTGTACGGCAGTAGCGCCATCGCGAGCTCGGCCTCGTCCGCCGTGAACATGACAGTGGACGCCGCGGCGCCGCTGCCCCCATCCGTACCGCCGCCGACGACGCTGTTTCGAGGTGAAATCCAACTTGCCGACCCACGCGCCGTCGCCAACGGCGTCGCCGCCAATGCCGTTGCCGCGGCGCCGACGCCGTTTGCCTCCCCCCCTGCCGCCGGGGAGATGGACGGATCCGCTGCGTCTGCAGAATATGACGGCAATTGTACGGCTGCGAAAGCAGTTACCAGGGAGCTTCGCCTCGCCCGCAGCAAAGCGGTTAGTGCCGACATGTCCGGGCGCGTCGGCGCCGCCGGCAGCGGCTGCGGCGACGGCGGCGGCGATGGTGGTCGCTCCGCGGAGCTGACGTCGACGACGGTGCCGTTGCTCCCCCCCATCGCTGCCGCGCTCTGCACAGAAGGCTGCGCTGCCATCAGTGCCGGCGCCACCGCTACAGGCGGCGCCGTCGCCGCCGACACCTCTACAAGCGTCGGTCCGTACGGTTTGGATTTACGGGGTAACGCCGTCGCGGACTTGGCCCTGGGTACCTGGCCATTGCTGGCGGCGACGGTAGCGGTGGCGGCGACACCGACGCCGCCCAAATCGTACGACGGTCGCGTCGCCCGCAGCAACTGACTATTCGACGTGTAATGGGCAGCGGCCGATGTTGCGGGGATGGGGGGAGCGGCGAAAGGGGCGCTTCGGAGGCTGTTGGCAAAAACCAATACACGCGACACATTCGCTGCGTTGCCACTGGCGTTGCCGCTCGCAATACCGGCTACGGCGTGGTTGGGGTTCCCAGCGCCGGCAGCAGTGACGGAGCCGTCACCGCGCCGTACGACAGGAAACGTCGAACTGCTGGCCCCTGACCCGCCGCCGCCGCAGTCGTGGCGCGCCAATTGAAAAGAGTTAGGTCCGGAGGCCCTCTCGGGGGCCAGCGGTAGCGGCATCGACGGCATCGGCAACAGCGGCGAGTTCTTTCCCCCGGCGGAAGTGATGGCAGCTGCCTCCGCCACGGCT